AAACAGGGTCCCAAATTTTAAAGCTACCAATTTTCATTTGCTTCCTAAAATCTAGGAAAGTTAGCACGATGGAGAATTCCAAAGAAACTGCTAAAAAGTTATCAAACGCACCCTTAATTCTCCTAAAGGAAATTAACAAGGAAAAAGTTTAAATGATGTTCTATTCAAATGCAGTTCGCTTTCAAGATTTTATTTTTGAGGAGTATTTGTTATTTAAAACGCATCTTAAGTATTGAGATTTGAAGCATCCTAAGCTACTCTAAACATGTTTTTGTTTAAATCAATTATTTTAGTAGCTAAAAAAAGAGTGAACATTTAATAATATCTAAAAAGTGAAATTTAATGGGGAATGATTGACTCAAAAGCAAGCTCAAGAAGAACGCCATATTTTTAAGGGTGCGTTTGTCTAAGGTCTCAACCTTAAACGAATCGCGTAAGGCACATCTCCAAACCTTTTTTTTTATTTTTTGTATTTAACAATGATCAGGGTCTTTTAGTGATAAAATGCTACAAGAGCATGAAATTACAGAGCCGTAATTACGGGATTAGAAATAAAAAGGGAAGAAAGACAAACACCAAGCTTAACTAAGAGGTCAACAACATCATTTGCCTCTCGATAAACATGAACAAAGGAAACCCGATGGCATCGAAGCACAAATATCAAAGATCTTCAGCTAAAAGACATGAAAGGACCAAATGATTATTTGCTCTTGGTTACACCATCCGATAACATTGAGAGAGTCTTCTTCGACCAGAATAATGCCCTGAATACCCCTGCTAAAAATGATTTACAGATCCTAAAGAAGAGAAACCATCTCAGTCTGGTTTGCCCTAGTAAATCCACATAGTGGCATTCTCGTGATCTCTAAGAAGACGACCTACTCCAGCTTGCCTAGGATTTTCCAAAGAACTTCCATCAAAATTTAATTTGTAAGCACCTTCAAGAAGTGGGATCCAAGTGTAAGACGGATGGTATTTTAGAACATAAGAAAATGCTAGCATCTTTAAGTTAACAAAAATATATGCCCCTGAAGTTCATCTCCCATCAACAGTAATAGAGAACTAGTCCCATAAGGTTTGCAAAATTTTATCTTTAATGCTAGCAAGATCCAATGACCTTCCTTAAAAAATATGCCTATCCTGCTCTAGCCAAATCTACCATAACATTCCACTTCTGAAAATATTCCAATTAAGAATTCCTTTTTTGGGCAAAGATGTGAAACTGAGATGATTAATAACTGAAATTAGATCTGCTGGCATGATAATAGTGATACCCAGGAGACTGAAAGCCCACTTCCAAATGTCATCTACAAAGGAACAATGCAAGAAAAGGTGGCAACAAGTTTCTTCATGATTATTATACATGATACACATATTAGGAATAATTTTTCCCCTATTTCGAAGATTGTCTATTGTAAGCTATTTTTCTTTTAAGGCAATGCAAAAGAAAGCCTTAATCTTCTTGGGGATAGGCCATATCCAGATTGCAGACAGATAGTCTTTTGACCACCTTAGACGATTATAAAAAAGTAATCGATAAGCGGATTTAACATAAAAGACCCTGTCACTTTCACTCTCCCATATTACCTCATCTTCACCTGTAGGCAACATATAAACATCCTCAAGGATAGATAATAAACTCTAAAATTGTGAAATGACTTGGTCCGATAGCCTGTTATAGATATATTCAATTCCATACAGAGGCACCCAAGAGTGAGAGAGAGAATAAATCTGAAACTTTTTTTGCCAGAGAGCTCACTCTCGCAAAGAGATCTGGAAAGAGTAAGTATAAGGGCTGATCCCCATGCCACTTATTAAACCAGAATAAAATCTCATCCCCACTACCAATAAGCGAGGGAGTATTGTTGAGCACCATATTTTTGCAACTATAAATTCCCTTCCAAATTTGTGAAAAAAATTTACCTCCTCTCATTTTTTTAATCAAATAAGTGAAAGGTTTAATACCATACTTTGCTGCCAAGATATATTTCCATAGCTGACTGGGGCCTTGAATGATTCACCACCACCATTTAGAGAAAAGAACCCAATTCATATATTTAAGCTTTCGAATTCCTAAACTTCCCATATTCATAAGAGTGTAAATTTTATCCCATGCTACCAAATGGAATTTTCTATGATCATCATCAAAAGAATCCCATATGAATTTGCACATAAACCTTTCAATGATTTTAATAATATCGCTTTGCATTTGCAGAATGGGCATGAGATAAATGGGTAGCTTTACATAGGTGATTTGACAAGGGTAATACAGCCTCTTAAGGTGAGGGTCTTTGACTTCTAGAGGATCCCACACCGATTTAGGAAGCCTTGATTAGGAGACACAAACCCCCAAATATTTAAGAGGGAAAGAATCAATTATGCAGTCGAGAATAAGAGCCAAAGAATGAAGCAAATTACTGGCACACGAAACTCTAACCATAGAGGTTTTATGGAAATTTACTTTGAGGCCTAGGGCAAGTTGGCAATACAAGAGAAAATTAATAAGATTTTTAATCATGAATGGATCTACATCACAAAAGATCAAAGTGTCATCAACGTATTGTAAGTGTGAGATAAAGGGCCCGTTGGTCCTAGCTTGGAACCTACTTTGAGGCCCAGGGCAAGTTGGCAGAACATGAGGAAATTACTAATATTTTTAATCATGACTGGATCTGCATCACAAAAGATCAAAGTGCCATCATCATATTGTAAGTGTGAGATAAAAGGCTCATTGGTCCCAGCTTGGAACCCCTCCAGTCTTTCTTTCCTCGCTATGTTTTTAAGCATCATTCTGAACGCTTCTGCCATCAGGGAAAATAGGAAAGGGAAAAGAGGGCCACCCTGCCTATGAACTTTAGAAGCTTTGAAAAAGCCTATGGGAAATCCATTAATTAAGATGGAGAAATAAGCCGACGAAAGACAACCCATAATTCAAGAAATCCACTTAGTGCCAAAACCCATACACCTCATAATTTCTTGAAGGACCTGTCATTCAACCCTGTCGAAGTCTTTTTCCATACCAACTTGATAACTACCCCGGCTTTCCCTTCAAGAGATCTAGGGTGAAGACATTCTTGCGCAATCAAAATACTATCTGAGATCATTCTATTGCGTATAAAGGCAAACTGTTCACCCAAGACCAGAGAAGGGAAGACCACTTTTAGTCTTTTAGCCAAAACTTTGGTAATAATTTTAGGCTCGACAATAGACTAATGGGCCTAATATCTCTTATGTCAACGATTATATCTGTTTGGGAATAAGGGAGATATAAGTAGAATTAATACTTTTGATAATCTTACCACTCCACATAAATTTCCTTACCATAGACAAACGACCGAATTTAAGCAAACCCCAAAAACATTGGAAGAAAACCAAAGAGAAACCATCTAGTCTGGGTGCCTTATCACCTGCTAGCCCAAAGACAACATTTCTCACCTCTTCTTTAGAAACCTCCCTCTCAAGGTCCTTGGCCAAAGTAGGGGACATGATTTTGAATGGAATCCCATCCAAGATAACCCCAAGATTATGCTTACATGGGAAAGCCTTAAGAAAATGATTGGTGATAGCATTTTCTTTACCCAGAGAAGCTCTCTCAACAACTCCAGGCATACGCAAGGCGGAAATGTCATTTTGCCTCCTGCGGGTGTTAGCTATGGCATGAAATTTTTTTGTGTTATTATCACCCTCCTTGAGCTATTTAACTCTACACATTTGCCTCCAATAGATTTCTTCTAGTCACAGATAATCATGTAATTGATTTAATAAATAATTCTTATTTTGGTAAGATGTAATTTTGGTATAGGAAATTTTAAAGTTGATGTACAAATCTATTTCACATCTAATTAGAAAAATATAAGACTAAAAAACAATATAGATTGACCAGATCCAAGAAGCACTTAAAAATATTGAAAATGGACTGTCTAGATAATGTATTACATAATGCACCATGTTTAGAAATTGAATTCATTTTTTTTCCACTTTCGTGTATCTTAAGATTGAGAAGATCAACTAAGGGTTTTTTGATATTAAAGAAACTAATATAAATCCAAAAAACTTTTTCCTAGTGGTTTTTGAGATATGCTTTATAGTCTTTACTTGATCCAGATCTGAAATCCGAATTCGAATTCTATCCGGATCCGGGTATGGATCCAAAATTTAGATCCGAACAGCGTATAAAATTTCGAAGCCCAAAATCCATCTAAAATGCTCGTTGGAACAAGTGTCTCCATTGATGGACCAAAAACCCGTCCAGTACTATTAAATGTCCCTTGCACCCACGCCTCTTTCACATCAAACCTCTCTCTCTCACACAATTATCTGTTCTTAAATTCAATTATCTCTGGTTGCATGCCACTAATGCAAGGCTACTTCTAGAAATCCATTTTACAACACTCCTAAGCATATGGACTTCGTGCCTTTTTCTGAACCGTTGGATTTGAAAAGCAAATCTCAGCCTCAAATTAGATACCCACCATCTTGATGAGAATAGGTAGATAAGCAGTCCATAGCATCGCGACACGTGGCAGATAGGATTGGACCCCCCTTCTCTCCTACTTCTTCACACTCACCTCTCATTTCCCACCACCAAAATTCAACACTCTACCTCCTCCCCACTCTCCCTAATCATACACCAGGCTCTGCGAGTTCTTGTGAGAAAAACAAATCAAGAGAGAGAGAGAAAGAGAAAGAGGAGAGAGATGGCCTCGGGTACGCTCTCGACCGCGATGGTGAGCTCCAACACCGCATTCACCCAGCGCCGTTCGGCGGTGCTGTGTGGCGCCCTTCCGAAGGTTGGTTATACGGCATTTGGTGTCAGGAGCGCTCGGGGTGGCCGAGTGACTGCCATGGCCACCTACAAGGTGACGCTGGTGACTCCGGAGGGAACTAAGGTGCTTGAGTGCCCCGACGACACCTACATTTTGGACCAAGCCCTCGATACGGGCATCGACCTTCCCTACTCATGCAGGGCGGGCTCGTGCTCGTCATGCGCTGGCAAGATCAAGGGTGGCACCGTCGACCAGTCGGATGGGAACTACTTGGACGATGACCAGCTCAGTGAGAACTGGGTCCTCACTTGTGTCGCTTTCCCTATGTCTGATGTCACCATAGAGACCCACAAGGAAGAGGAGCTCATGGGCTGATATTCGTCCCTCTTCTCTGTATAGGTTGCAGCTTCTTTGAGCCTTGTCATTCTTGCTCTCTCTCTCTCTAAAGTTGCACCTTGTTTGATCCTTTTCTCCTGATTCCCTTCTCAAGACTGTTTTTACCTGGTTTAGATTTCGTTCTCTCTCTCTTTTTCATGAGTAATTGTTTGTTAGTATATGCTTATGTAAGAGGTTGATTAAACTGAAAGCAGATTCTCCATTCTACATATTTGTGACCTGCCTTATCGATGATGAGGGAGGAAGTCTAATGAGTGTTAGTTACAACATGTATCATGGAGAACGGTAATTAATTTATAGAAAGGTATATAAAAATATTGTTTATTCTTGGTATAAAGAGGTCATAGTCACTATTGCCTATCAAAGTTCAAATTGGATAGTTGTATCAGGGACTAGGCTCAAAGAGGAAAAATTATGGATACCCTTGGAATGTAATTTGTCGACCTCCAACCCCCAGTATTTTTTATATCACGTCCTTTGACTTAACTATTATTTTTTCTTGTATTTACCCTGGTTCAAAAGTTAAAAACCAAACTATCCTTTCAATCATCTCTCTCCCCACCTGATAGCAATCTCTCATTTTTTTCTCCCTACCTGATAGAAGTCTCTCATTTCCTCTTTCCACCAAATATCAATATCTGTCCCTGATTGATATCAAGTTCTATATCTCTCTCCCCACCAGATATATATATCTCGCCCTTGCCTAATATCAGTTTCTCCATCTCTCTCTCTCTCTCGCTCTCTGCCTGATCTCTCTCTCTCTCTCTTTCCTTGCCCAAAATGGGAAAGTTCAGTCTGACGCAAAAGTGTATTGGATTGGTAGTGAGGCTTTTGAAATTTGAAGCAAGAATGCGGTCCTGTACACTTTTGTGCCGGACTGCATTTTTCCATTGTTTTTGACACAGTCCGACAAAAAATGTGTTGGACAAGAAGAGCATGGTATAAAATGTGGTCCGACAGAAAATATGCCAGATTGGCTTCTTCTTTGACAAAAGGCCTTACAAAGCGTGAGATTAGTAAGATGTCACAATGAATGGGGCTAGAGTTCATTGAACAATCATCCACAGCAGTAGGAACCCAACCAAGTATTTTGTAACCTCACAAGTCTAACTTCAATGTGGTAAAAACAAACTTTTTGTGTGATTAGTTTGATCACTAGACGGCAAAATATTATTGGCACACGTTTTCAGATAATCCAGAAAGTGGTTTCTAAGTTAATAGGATGTGTTATACTCTTAACGTTGTCTATGGACTAAATAAGTCGGAGTGTTTTATGTACAGTGGCACTCTTGACAGACACACCTATGTAAGTGTGGAAGTGAGATCGCTTCTTATTAGATGAGACTCGTCTCTAGAGCCCTTATGAAATTGAGATATAAGCACAAGGCCCAAAAGATATTAGTAGCTAAAAAGAAACCAGAGTTGAATTTTGTTTGTGAGTTATATTACCGGTCTATTAGATGAGCAACTTGGTTCAAATCTATATACTACCACGGTACTTAACGAACTTTATAGCGTACACTCTAAGTGAAGGTTCAAATTGAAAGATACCTTCCTGTTTTGCAAGTAATATGTTTCATATGCTTGTTTTTTCTTTTTTTTCTTTTTATTTTGAAATAGTGGAGAAAAATGTTAATATTTTTTGCTTTGAAAAATGCTTGAGTGTATTTCAAAATAACTTCATTTGTTTTTGTGCTTTGTCTAAGCTGTTTTTGGGAAAAAAAAGCTATGGGTTTGAATCCCACATTCAAGAAGAGAGAGTTATATGAACAATATTTAAGATTAGGCATTCCCATGCCATATACGCTTAATATAAGATGAGAGATATGGTGCTTGTCTAGAGCACGCGAAGTGTGCGACGTGCATATGCACATGCGTATGCATATGAGAGGGCATGGGCGCAAGGGTATTTGGTGGCACACTTTGAACTTTGCGCGCTTGCTTGGTGCGAGAGGCACCCCTCGCTGAGAACGTGTGTGGATCCAGCCCAAGGCTCAATATCTTTTTGTGAGCCCAGTTCGTGTCGAACATCCACCAGTCAGCTAGTCATTGATGAGAAATGAAGGCTAATAAAGGCTTGTAACAGCAGCCTTAAGGAGGTGTATGTAACTTGTAGCTATTGGTGTTGTATGTAACCACTACTACAATAAGTGTGCAACCTCCTTGTAGTATTATAATAAGGGCACTCCATCCCGTACAAGTTAGTTACTAGAGCATAACTTTTTGCATCTCTCTCTACATACCATTCTACTGTGAAATTCCATGGACCACAACAGTGGGCTAATCTATCTCTTTCTACTCGTTTTTTATCTCTTTCTCTCTAAAATACCATGACTCTGGTGTCTTGTGCGTGAGTTTCAAATTCGGATGCATAAAGCTTTGAAACATCAAAGAGACCTCTTTATTTTCATGTATCTCAACGATTAATTGCCCCTCTTATGCACACCAAATACAATATCGAAGGGGGGAAAATTTTATTTTGAGATAGCGCTCTTGTGTGCCCAAAAATAAGAAGGTTTATTGCTTCATTTTTCTAAAAATTGTACTACTGTTTCTCCCCTTTCACCGAACCATTTTCCAAAAAGGCCAACACAAATCGAGTTTTAACTTGGTTGGCGAGTTTGTCAAAATTTTTAAACACTTTTCCATATAAAACCAAAGTTTAAAAAACTCACCTCAGTCTTGGGATTCTGTCCTTGCCCAAGCCAAGTTACCTAGGTGAGTCTAGTGTGCACAAGGAAGGGTGATAAAAAGCGAAAAAAAAATTTGTTAAAAAAAATTGTATAAAAGAAAAGATAACTATAAGCAACATTGAAAATCCAAATAGCATGTAAAAATAATATAAAAGAGAGGATTTAAATAGTTCGAAACATTTTAAAAAATCCAAGAAAAAGGAAAAATTATAAAATAGGATACAAATAAAACTCATAAATCAATATAAAAAACATCAAATTTTACCCGAGTTTATACCCGAGGACTTGGCTCGGGATGGGGCCAGAGTCCAGTAACTTGGCGAAGTTAACAAATGCTGCATAAAACTGACTACCTTCCACAATTTTTGTCATTTAGAACTCTATTTGTTCTGAAAATTCACTCTGTTGCATCCTCTAAAAATGTCACGTGGGAGATTTTTAAAAAATAAAAAAATCTCATATTTGCGATGTTTTCTTTTTAGTTTTCATCTAGGCTTTGACGAAGTTGAAAGTCTTGCAAATGTTTTTTGCAACCCTCTGTTTTATTTGAAATTTCTTCTTTTCTTAGTATCTATCAAATCAAATGCTTATTTTTCTACAAAAGCTCCACTCAAAATTTCAGATTCGGGAGATCCTGAGTACTAAAATATTATGTAGCGGAAAATATAAAAAATCACTAATACCATCGAGGGTAATGACAATAAAGTCAATTTTCATTCTACTTTTTTTTCATTTTACACATAGGTTTCCTTATTGTTAGTTATTTATTTTTATTTTTTATTTTTCTAAATTTTTAGTTTACCTCTCTATATACGAGTGGGCCAAATAGGGATAGACCCTCCTCTGTGCTAACCATTTCGTTATCTATGGCACTTACAAGTCGAAGCATTGCTCTTGAATAAGTCATAGACGGAACCCACACTTAAGAGCCATGCAACAAAGTGGAGAGCCGTTTTTTTTTGTATGGCAGGGTTGAGTAATGTGAAAGACAAAAAAAAACTCATAAAATAAGAAAGGGTTAGAGAGAGAGAGAGTTTTTTTTAGAGAGAGAACACAGATGGTGTTTTAACATAAAAAAAAGGGTTTTCAGTTGGGGCTCTGTTTTTAAAGACTCTTGCAAGCAGAAAAAAAGGTTTTTTTTTTTAGGCCCTTCGAGAGAAGAAAGTGCAGGTATGTAGCAAGGTTTCTATCACCATTTTAGGCCATTCCAGATGCCATTTTTGCTATCTCTCACCCTCAATACACAGCTGGAAAACCAGAGCAGCTGGTGTGCTGTCTGGTTGCTTCTCCAAGCCATTGGAAGACCATCTTTTGAGTTTTTTGAGGTAGAAAAGAGATGATCTTGTTAGTGCTTGTGAGGTAACTTTGTATTTTCTCCAAGTTATTGTTCTTCTCCCTCATTTGATTGTAAGCCTCAAGTTTTGGGCAAAAACTTGAGAAAAAACTCATTGTAACCCTCATTTGATTTTAGTGGATTCCTATCTCGAATTTGCCCCGTGGTTTTTCCCTTCGCATTGAAGGGTTTTTCACGTTAAACATTGTGTTGTGATTATGTTTGGTGGAACTTTCCCCTCTTTTTTTTATGATTTCTATTTTTTTTGGCACTTAGCAAATTGTCTATTTTTCAGTATTTGCACAAACATACATTGTGGGTTGTTTTTTCTTTTGATTCACACATAGAAAGGGCATTGCTTCTCAATAACCGGTATCAAAACCAGGTTGTATGTGAATCAAAGATGGATGCCCTCTACATGGATGATTAGTTTGAATGGGGGTAATTGGTCAATTTAGAAGGCCAAGATGGAAGACCTTCTCTTTTCAAGAGACCTCTATTTGTCAATTGAAGGGATAGAGAAGAAACCAGAAACCATCACCGATGATGATTGGAAGAAGTTAGATCGAAAAGCAATTGCTTGCATTCGATAATGGTTGGATGATACTGTGTTCCACCATGTATCAACGAAAACTAGTGCAATTTTCTTGTGGAAAAAATTGCATAATTCGTATGAGAGAAAGATGGCTGGAAATAAGGCATTTTTAATTAGAAAACTTGTAAACTTAAAGTTTAAGAAGAACGGGTCGATTGCGGAGCACTTGAATGAAATGTTAAGCATTGTAAATCAATTGGCGGCTATGAAGATGATGCTAGATGATGAGCTGCAAGCATTGTTGTTGTTGAGCTCATTGCCTGACACTTGGGAGACCCTTGTTGTATTCCTTAGCAATTCGGTACCTGATGGGGTTGTTACCATCAGCCAAGTTACAAATAATTTGTTGAATGAAGAAGTGAGAAGAAAATCTTCAGATTCATTTCACTCATACGCATTAGTCACTGAAGAATGGGGGAGACCTAAAAATAGAGAAAATCATAATAAATCAAAAGGGAGATCCAACTTTAGAAATGAGTGATGTGTTACTATTACAAGAAGCCTGAACATGTGAAGGAGTGTCGGAAGTTCAAAAGGAATCAAAAAGAAGGAAAATATGGTGATGGAAACAAAGAACATCAGGAAACCACTGCAGTT